ACACTCAGAAAACAACAGGCAAATTGAACACAACTTTTTTTTTTAAATGGTCTGTGTGGAAACGATGTCATGTGGAGGTGGCTGCAATTCAGTTTTTAGAATAACATTGACCGGCATCAAGGGCCAAAACATGTATTATTGGTTTAACCGACCAGTTATTCTGGTGCAAACTAGCGAGAGTGATGATGTTTATTGTGTAGTTTGACATATTCAATCTATCAACTATCTCTGTATACAGAGTGGAGAAGAACATAACGTTCAGAGATGGCACAGATCGTGCTCCTGCGGCGGCAGAATATTCATATCCTCACCCTCTCATATTTGCTCGCGGTGGATTTTTAAAAAATATTTCTTCTGCATTCTCGCGGCTTCACTCAGAAAATGTAATTTCGAGCTGGCAGGATGCAGTTATTTTAACTTTGGGGTAGAGAAATAGGAGACATACTTTTTTGTGTGAAAGCACTACCACACACACTTAGACGAAACACTAACAGTGTGTTTAAAATCACTTGAGTGGATGAAAGTGTGTGTAATGACAAATGTCTTCTCAGTATTCATTGAAGATTACAGTAAGTGTCAAAGAGATCGAGGGTCGAGTGTAGCTCTGTACAGAGACACAAAGTAGAGAAAGTCTCTCAGACGTGCAGAGACAAACTGCCGTGTTTTAAAGACGGCGGGCAGAGAGCGCTGTGGATTTATGGGAAAGCTCATAAAGCTGCAGCGGTGGTGCTGTAATGGCAGGTTTTCTCTGTGCCGCTGACCCCCCACACACTTTCATAAACATTTTAACATCAATTTATCTTTCCATGACTCGCTGAAATGTGCATCATCCAGACTTAACGGAACACTTTCTGCAGAAATACAAGATGCTCCTCAAAACAAAGAAATCCACACAGATATATTTAGGCAACAACAAGAACCAACAATAATGAAGATATCTACATCCAGAGATGAGTGAGGCTTTTTTTAGATTCATGAATTCATCTCTGAATTATGGCAAACAGACCCTTTATGATTTCAGGCCAGGAACATTTTCAGCTCTGAATCATTTGCAACCTTTAACTCGCTGAGTCCCTTTAAGTCACAAGCTCTTTTTGAAGGAGACTTCGCTAACTTGGCAACAAAAAAAGTATTGACACAAGTTACAACCATAGACTGTTACAACATACAACATACAACAAAGCAAAATAACAAGCAACAACAAAATAACATTCAAGCAAAATAAAAACAACAGATAAAAGAGCACAACAACCAGCAGAAACTCCCTGAATATGACTCCACTCTCAAAGTTTCTGAAGGCCCAATAAGATCTTAATGCCGTCATTTTGAATGAAAGTCTGAATAATCACACAGTTGTAATCCAGTTTGCAGTCGGGTCGGGTTAGCTTCAGTCATAAATCTCAGCACAGGTATGTTGGTAAGAGTGACGTCAGCGACCACCAAATCAAGAACAACACACCACATCTCTTCTTCCAATCTCACAGAGTGGTCCAGCCTCCTCTTCTGCATCCTCTCCTCTATCGATCGAGAGGCAATTATGTAAAAAGGAAGAGAGGGAAGGGACACACTGGAGCGTGGAGGAGAGTCCTTCTATTCTGATGGCGGCTAGTTTGGTAAACCAGTTGTAACGAGTTTGAGAAACTAAAGCTTTAATAAGATCACAGCTTTAAGACAAACTGAATCCTAAGGCAGATATTACCCTTTAAGAGGGAAACAAATCTATAGCAGGTCATCATAACATAAATCCTGAAACATTTCTTTTCTCCTTTTAGAGTTTTATTTGTATTAAGAAGAATATCTATGCAAAACAAACACAAACCAACAGAAGAAAACTAGAAAGGTTCTGATTTTTAAAGTCTGTCTTCAAAGAATACAGATATTCAGAGAGACTCATAAGTGAAGGAAAGAGTTTTTTTGGATGCTCTAATCGACGCCCCAACCATACCATGGTCGCTTTTCATATAAATCCAGTATAAAATGTCAACCATTCCTTTACTTTTTGAATAATATTGAAGGGACAGTGCACATTGATTAATGAGGTCAGTGAGGTCATCAGATCAAGTTTCCTAAAGTAGCCCTATTGACTATAGTTTTCATCTCCAGGCCATGGCGGGATTCAGTTTTTAATTATTAAAATAAATGTATTAAAAAATCATTTACATTTTATTTTTTGATAAAGGACTTTAAAACATAATACTGCACTTTAGTGTGATTATTTACACTTGCCAAAACCAGCACCCTGCAGCAAAAACGTCAAATATAAGAAAACTATCATTTTATTGGCCCGTATCTGAATGACAAACACCGAAACAAATCTTTACCAGTGGTGACAAAATGTCTTCTGAAGCCGTGAAAACCAAGAGAGAGTTGTTTTGGGAGTAATTCTTTAGACATCTATGTGCTACTCTTCTACCAGCAGGGGGCAGCAGAGTCCCAACATCTGTGTTTGGGCGCATCCTGAATATCCATTTAGCTGCAGTCAGCCTTGACCCAGTGTAGGAGAAACAGCAGCATGCTGTGTGTACAGGACTGAAGCCTGCAGGGAGAACAGGTGTGAGCCGGGCACACCTGCTGAGGGACGACCTTGTTCAGAGAGAGAGACAATTCATTTAATAAGATTTATGTTGTTTACATTAGAATGAATGGAGGATAAAGTATAAGACATGCGTGTTTAACGGGTCAGAGCTGAAAGGTAACCTGTTAAGTTAAAAAGTTTGTCCTTGAATGTTTTCCTCATTTTGTGCAGCAGGTCGAGTGTTAAGAAGCCTTTTTACTATCTCTGAGGTCTGAGCTCTGACAGCTGGCTCGTGTCTCGGCTCTTCTTCTTTTGAGCCTCCACCAAAACATTTTTCAGTCACGTAATTTAGAATTCCAGACTTTCCTTCCAAGAAGAAAGTCGCTGGAAAATCGCCCTTCTTCCTAACCGAATCCATCAGAGTAAAATTTGTGTGGAACTCTGGACAACATTTGCTGTTGGCTGCAGCTGCAGCTTCATGCTCTCAGATTATGACATAGTGGGAAAAACTGACTTATTACTGTAACGTTGCTTCCTCTGAATTTGCATGGGGCGTTCAGGACCGCTTGTGAAAGCTGCTTGGGGTCAGTGTCCAAAGCAGAACAGACGTTTGCAGAACCAAATCTCTGAAAAACCATCTCCTAAACATCTGCTCGTTTAGCCCAGCCTAATAAAAGCTGAAGAATGCTGCTGGTCTGTGCTTTATGGGGCTACTTCACTTTTTCCATATGCAGCTGCAGCAGCAGCCGCGTGGACACTCTCTGGTTTGTGTGGGGGCTCATCATCATCACACTTTGTCTCTGCTTCATATGTATAAATGTGCTCCCCTCCACACCACATATGCAGAGCAGCTCATACAATTAGGGCTCGGGGTGTGCGGGCCCTTTGTCCCCGTGAGCGCTGCCTGCTGTTTGTGCTGCAGAATCGGTTGCAGACTGCTGCAGCTCGGGGATGCATCTGCCTCGGATTTGCCACGTATTTCCAGAGCAGGGGAGCCATGGCTCACCGGTGCGTTTCTCATGGCGATGTGAAATAGTGTGAGATAGCTGCTCCCTGTGCCTGTGTGTGTGTGTGTGTGTGTGTGTGGCTGTGCCTCTGTGCGTGTGTGTATGAGTGCATAGGCAGCACAATGTCACCTTGACTACAAGCTACAGGAAAGCAACTGAGGGCGCACCGCATCTGCACGGCACTGGACACCAGAGGAGCAGAGAGGCAGTAAGGGTTGTATTTGCGTGTTTCTTCTCAAGAGTGTGTGTGTGTGTGTGTGTGTGTGTGTGTGTGTGAGGATATGCCAAATGTGTGAGTGTGTGCGTATGTGTGTGTGTGAGGGAGAGAGAGGGAGAGACTGAGGCGGGTATAGCTCTCTCTCAGACAGCTCACAGTGCTGGAGGATCCCTCTCTTCAGATCCAGGCGGAGCGACGCAGAGATGTCAGCAGCAGCACACACAGGTGGGTCTCACAAACACACACACACACACACACACACACACACACACAGCAGAGGACAGGTGAGGCAGGCCGGGTGCTCAGGATTCATGCTTCTTATGTTAACGGGCTGCTTTTAGTGTCAGAGCTGCATTATGCTCATGCTTTTTTTTTTACAGACATGTTATTTTTTTTTTTGGTGCAGGTGGGAGGAGGCCTGCAAGCCGGCCTGAGGGTCAGCAGGTGGTCAGCTGCTTAAAAAACAAAAAAATCTGTCAGATTTGAGACTGTGTGGATAAATTTGATTTAGAACCTAAATGGAAACATGTTTTTTTACTTTTCACAAAGGTGGCTAATTGATGCCACTCCTTAAACTCTCTCACCAGTTCACTTCACTTCAATTATCTGATATTTAAATTGCAGCCTGTCAGAATGGGCTGAGCTCTCTCCTCCTGCAGACCTCCAGGTGTGCTTCAGGCTCCCTCGGCCTGCTGATAGACAGCTACAGACCTCCTAACAGCCGCAGCGGGACCTTCAGGGCTCCCGTTCAGCCGTAATTGCATTAACCGCGACTTGTAGTGGATAGTAAACCCGCCGCCGCATCTTTTCCTGTCCGTCATGTGACCCAGCCGGGCGAATATATCTGCGTCCTTCTTCGTTTCGCCGGAGAAATGCAGCCCCGGACCAATCGCGTCTCGGTGGAGGCGTCTCTCTCCTTCCCATTTTCTCGCTTTCTCTCTCGTGATGCCTTCACGTGACGTCGAAAGTAGTGACTGCAATGATTGCATGCGTAGATTTTATGATACAATTAGTGAAAACTTATTTTTAATTTCACGTACAATGCATTTATTTTGCACAAAAACGTGCAAGACCTGGGGAGTCGTGAGATGGTGGACGTCCACTTTAAAGTACCCTATAATGTAGGCCCTAGGTTAATCCAAATAAATGACCTGTTTTTGCTGTTTTTATATTTTCCACAACAGAGAAGAGCTCGTTTAGAAAACCAGAAACAGCCCATTCACAAGTTTATTTCTCCGAGTAAGTTTTCTTCGTATTTATTTTCTCAAATGCGCGGAAACAAGCTGCACTTTTCCATCGAAAGTGACGAAACCGAGTTAACGGGGCGCCGCTGAACGCACCGCGAGGCCTTGTGACGTCAGCCGCTCCCCTGCGCTCCCCTCTAGCAGCCAGTCAGAGAAGGGATGCTCTGAACGAAAGACTGCAGCATCTTCACCGAGAGAACGAGCAGAGAAAAACGTCTCTTTTCTCCCTCCAGCTCCGCGTCTCCGGACCCTCCTTCACCCTCAGTCACCCCTGGGTGCCTCTTCACGATCGGAACCAGGACAGAATAACAAGAACGAATTTATAACAACCTACAAAATAACGCATCGGATTTTTTTTTTGTATTATTGTTATTATTGCTTCATCGACCTTTTTTGTCTGTCTTTCTTCGGCTGACTTCGCCTCTTTGTCCCTTCGGTTGTGTATTTTTGTTTTCTTTAATTTATTGTTCCGTCGTCGGCTGTTGCGGAGGAGCGCCACCATCCTGCACTGCCTGACATGAGAACGCTCTTTTCTCCGGTTGCAGCGGAATGACACACATATCCTAGCCCGCATATCTGAAGCTTGATGGAAGATTGACGCTTCATTTGCACTTTTTAGTAGCCTAGATCATCCTCCATCTGCAGAGGTTTCGGATTTTTCCTCCTCTTGAGCCGATCGTCCAGCGTCCTTTTTTCTTTCTCTCCCCTGCGCAGCATCTCTGTCCGCACAGCGCACCACGGAGACACACGCAGCTAACGTTCTCCGTCCGTAAGAAACAAAGCGTATTTTTCAGATTCCGAAATCGCTTTCGCCTTCCTCTGAAGACTCCTCTGCACGGCTACGCTGCGTAAAAAAAAAAAAAACACCACGGGAAAAAGGGGGATTTAAAACGCAAACGCAGCCCAAGCATCCAAGAGCAAGCTCGAAAATGATGGCCGGCGGAGCAGTACAGCAAAACGGGATTTTCACAAATCCTCACCATCACAATCAACAACCACACATGGAGTCCGATCCCCCGGACTCGCGTAAAAGACCCTTGGAGACTCCCACGGAGGCCAGCAGCACCAAACGCACAAACACGGGAGGTAAGTGCAAGCGATGGGGATGCGGGAGCTGCTCGGGGTTTTTTGGTGAATGTTGTTTCGGCCTGAGGCAGGCAGAGAAAGGAGAGCAGGTTGATCTGATTCTTAGTGTACACAGAGAGGCACGCTACAGCCACAGATTCATCGATTTAAGCACAGAATACGCAAAAGATCTACATTTAGAGGGCAGGATTAATTTGTATCAGCTTTCTAATGAGCGACAGTCATTTTCCATCAGCGTTAAAATAACACCGGGCCGCCGCGTCTGATAGAAAGGAAACAATGAGAGGGGCTGAGGGGGGATTTGGAGGGAAGCCGGCGGTTCCTCTCGCGCACATCCTGCCTGTTTTAGCCTCCTTACATCAGCAGAATCCGTGTTTTTTTTTTAAATTTATTGCGTCTTAAGATTTTACGCGCAGCCTCAGCGGCCATGCTGGAGCCAAGATCAGGATGTAAACAAGTGAAAGCCAGATCGGGCTAGTGCGTGATCACAGGCTCACATCCCCGTCGACGGATGACCTTGTGATAATCTCACACACATCAGCCACCATCGCCGCTTTGTGTACAATTACACAAGCGGATAAACAAGCGGACTATTTTAACAGCAGGCCTGTCTGTGAAGAGGGGAGCCAGAGAAGCTCACATTGCGTCTCTGTGTTACTGCAGCATGTCGGTGGCTGAAATATTTTTGTCATGCTTTGCTGTTTTTGATTACCTGCAGCTAGCAGGGATACACTTTTTTCTTTTTTTTTTAATCTCCAAATTGTCCAATCATGTTTCTTCATTATTCTCTGGTTGGATGAAATATGGATCTGTCACCATGGCGATCACCATATTTGGTTTTTGTTTACATGCTGTCATGCGCCAAGCATTCCCATCACCCGGCATTACAACCATCAGCAGCCTCTTCTGGCCATGCACCTCATCATGGACACATGGACACACACACACTACACCTTTAAATGACTTCTTTACACAGCGAGGTGCAGCGTGCACATGCTGAAGATCTCTTTATATGCAGATGTAGATTTTCACTGTGGAAGACTCCAGGATTTCGAAATTGAATGTTTTAGAGGATCCAGCTTTAAGAGCAAACTGTTAAATGTGACTGTCATTGTGATCATGTCATCATTTATTTCAATCTTGTTTCTAAAGGACACAGAGAGAAACGAGTAAACAAGAGGTGAGAGAGATGTGCAGAGAACCAACCTGAAGTTACATTCATGAACAAAATAATCGGGTGACCGTTAATTCTCAAATTGTTAAATTGTTTCCGGTATGAGGATGATTATTTTAATGCAGTTGCATGCAGATGTTATGTCACACTGCTGTAATTAAAAAAGATAATTTTCATTGTAAAAAACAAAACAAATCAGTGTTGCCAAAATATTTTCCTTCCGGGGAGATGAAAACAGTGTTTATACTCCTCTGGGACGTTAAATTCTCCACAGAGACACAGAATAATTATATGTGTTTAATCTAATCTTAAATGCCTGATGCATATTAAGTCAAATTAGAAATAAATAAAAGGAAAATTAATCAAATCTGTGAGGAAAAAGTCAGAGATAAACGGCGACCTTACTAATACTGACGACCTCTGATATTTAACCCGCTGAGGTGTAAATATTTACATCGTCTGTCACTTTATTAGCAACAGGATTTCCCTGCAGAAGCTCAGGGTTTACCTGTAAAAGTGAAAGTGGCTACAACATGATGTATTTTTAACACCAGTCGTGGCCCGTCCCTGCAAACGCACGATGACAGGTGGCACAATTTAAAGAAGTAGTCCTCAGTGTGACCCTCAGCGAGTCCTGACGATAAAGTCAATTTCTGACAGGAAACAACAGGACAGTCACTTTTAACAGTTTCTCCAGCTCCACATACACACATGAAGAGAGTCCGGCTGAGGAGGGTGGGTGGGGGAGGGGGGGGGGGAGTCAGGTTAGTGAGCGTTGTTTAACTGTAGATCAATGCAGCACTAAAGTCTCCCCCTCGCCGTATGTAAAAAGCCCACTGCTCCCCCCTCTGGGGACCCTCCCCCCCCCTCCCCTGCCTCTCAGTTAGACAGCTCATCCATTTAGACAAATGAAAAGGTTGAGATGATGATGATGATGATGGAGAAGAGCACGGCCGAGCAGGTTTTTACTCAGGCAGAGAGGACGGCCTGCTGCAGGTCAACACTCCCTCAGCCGCCAGCATCAGGCTGCTGATTGGATGACATTTGGTATTAAATAAACACGTCGTTCACACACATGCACACACGATTCTACGGCCCCTGAAGATAAAAAAAAAAAAAAAAAAGTGGAATCAGAGCTTGGTTGAAGGTTTATTTGATTTGCACCTACAGTTAACCTATTATAAATGGTCTTTTTGTTCCTATAATATGGTTAATGGTTGGTTATATGACATTCACAGCCTGACATAGTTAGAGAATGTAAGTCTCTTTTATCCTTTGAATTAGTTTATTATAAGATGCACAAACTGTCCGTATTTCAGGCCTTTGATGCAGAAGAAAACATTCACCTTGAAGCAGTTGATTTTACACAAATAGCTTTAAAACGTAAGCATATTTATGCACTGAGAATATTTATGTATTTGTATTTTTTTAAATGCACTCAGGCTGCAGATGATAGAAGTCACAGTTGCTGCTTTAGAGATCATAACAATGGTTGTTTCTCTGAATGATTAGCTTACACCACACACTCCCCCACCCCTGTGCTTCCTCTCTCTGTAGTGGCCTTCCTGCAGCCCATTTTTGAAACTGAAGGCATTGTATTCCCTCACCAAGAAACTGAGACTCATGGTAAGAGAGACTTTGATTTTGATCTTCTTCCTGTTTTTGTAATCTTTACTGTAACCTTCTTCAATGCAGGACTAAGTCAGCAGTGCACAAACATGTTCTGTTCTCTAAGGCTAAAATCTGCAGAGTGAAACCTAAATATTAGGGATGGGGGGGCGGGGTCGAACTGCTGCGGGGCCTGACATTTAAATAGGATAGAAAAGAACATGTAACACCCTCATGTTTACTCAATGCATGCAGATATTTGATACTGTATGTTTTCAGTTCCATGACATCCATTCTCATGCTTTTTATACAAATTCAGAGTTTCTTTTGTCATGATATCAAACATTACTGCACAGATGAGTCCTGCTGACTTTGACCTCATGCTAGCCATGTCATCAGCACATTACACTGTGATTTATGACTGCTGATATATTGTGGAAATGTTCCGTCTATGATTATGATGTATGATGGCTGCAGTGTGCTCGGTGCAGCTGCAGGAGTTTTTAACGCATTTTCCTTTTTCACAGGTCGTATGATCTAAAAAAATTACTTTGTTTGGGTTTTGAATGAAAGATTTAGATGACGAAAATCTCTTCAAAAAGTATATGAAACAGTCGTGCTTCTTTCTCCTATCACCCGTTTAGAAATCGAACCTAAATTCAAGGTGCGGTCTAATTCCTGGGCGACGTGTTTTCTGTCCTGATCTGTGTGAATGAGAAGTCAGAGTTCAGACATTTAACTTTGGAAAAGACAAAGAAAGGCCGACTTTAATTTTCCCTCCGAGATTCCTCTGGTTTGTGCGCAGGATCTTTTTAGTGTGTGTGTTTCTCTGGGTGTGTGTGTGTCTGTGTGTGTATGAGGAACATTAAACCAAAGTCCTGCTCAGCTGTCAGTCAGCGTGCACGATGTGACATGGGACCGCTGTAACATGAGGCCCATAAATCACATCTCCGTCTCATCAAAATGTGAAGGTCTTAAAGAAGGAGAGATCAATGAGAAGCTGCTGTTCACAGCCCCCCCCCCCCCTCTCCAGGAGCCCTCTAATCCCCTCCCTCTCCAAACCCCTTTTCTTATCGCTGCCCCTCACTCTGACCCAGCAGGGCTCTGTCCTCTCATTAAAGGAATTCTGATTTCTCTTTAATCATGTACATATATGATCAGAGACGTTAAACGAGGTCATGTTAATATTTGATTCGGTATCAGGAGGTTTAAACTTAGATCATTTTCAAAGTCTGACTTCATTGTGATTGGATAAACGACCAAAACTCTTCAAGTAGCCTGCATGTATAATACAAGGATTTCCTGCTGTCCGCAAATCAACGTTCAGCATTTTTACTAAGTGGCCTTTTTGTTTTACTGATGCCACATTCATTTGCAGAAAAAAACTTGCATATATTTAAAAAAGTAATTTTTTGGGCCTTTTGCCTTTATTGGATATGACCGCTGAAGATAGACAGAACACGTTGGGAGGAGAGAGTTGGGGGGGGGATACATGCAGCAGAGAGACGAGGTTTAAAACCCACAGCCGCTGCGACGGGGACTACAGCCTCCGTACATGGGGCGCGCAACATAACCGCTAGGCTATCGACGCTCTCCCAAAAGCTGCATATTTGATGCATTTTAAAATGTCATTATGATCGAGCCTTCATAAGAAGTAATAAGTATCCACATAACTCAGTTAAACGCTAACATTCAGCTTGTCATAATGTGAAGGATTCTGTGTTTTTATCACAAATGTCTCCTCTCGGTATTAAATTCACAAACACTATGCACATAATATTTGTTGAAGCGTCTGCAAAGAGTCCGTTTGTAACACTCTGCTTCTCTCAGCCTGATGGAAGTCACTCCCATCCAGTCCAATCCAAAAGAAATGCAGCTTTCAGGAGAAAAAACCTGCTTGTATAAGCTATTAAGAAGCCTTATGTAAGCGCAAACAAAATAAATTGGATGTTTTTTTTTCTTTCGATTTTAATGTCGGTGGTCAGAAAATGAACATGCGAGAGGGGGTCGCCCAGAGGGTGAGCAGTCAGGGAAAGGTTTGCTGACCTGGACGCTGTGACCTTTAAATCCTTTCATTAGTTTTTGTTTTAGGCGTTTCTTCCTTTCTTCCTTTCTTCCTTTCTTCCTTTCTCTCCTCTCCTCTCCTCTCCTCTCCTCTCCTCTCCTCTTCTCTTCTTTCCTCTCTTGTCAGTAAGATGTAAAACATTAATTTAGTAAATGGATGGACTGGCAGCCAGTGTTGTGGGAAGAAAGGGGTGGGGATGGATGGGGATGGGGGGGGGCTTGAAATGTCCTTGCAAAGTGACATTAGGGGACTTGCAGAACGATGGAGAGTGTGTTTTTATGTCTTGTCTGACTTCAGTGGAAAACTCAGAGGAAGTTTAATGAAAAACAAGGAGGAGTGTGGTAATGACGATGTGAGCTGCAGATAGACAACACTCTCACACACACACACACACACACACACACACACACACACACACACACACACACACACACACACACACACGTACTCGTGTGCATGCTGTGTATTGAGCCTGGCCTGTTTGATGCTATTGATCAGAGTGTTTTCTGTTGCTCCTGGAGCTGAGCAGAGCTGCTTTTTTTGGGTCGTCTACACAAAGGGGAGCTGTCTTCCTCACATCGATCGACTGTGCCGAGGAAGAAGAAGAAGCCCCTAAATTTGGCTTTGAACACACAAAAATGTAGTCGCAGCGCAGGCAGGGGGAGTTCAGTCCTAAACACACACACAGTTTGAACTAAAGTGCTTAGAAATCATTTTATTTTGAGCTGCCAGAGATGTTTTCTGCTCATAAATATTTAGTTTTTTTCTTAATATGTTTGAGTATTGGAGTTTCAAGCAGTGTTAATATGCTTTACATCTCCCTCTTGGCCCTCCACGCTCCGCGTCTGACAGAACACGGCGTTCTCCTCTGCGACACGCCTGTTTTTGTTTTAACGGCGAGGCTCGAGCGCTTCTCGTCCGCTCCCTCCTCGTTCCCTCTCTCGTCCTCTCCTCCTCATCCATACTAATCATGCTCTACTTCAGACCATCACGACTGCGCCCTCCTCCTCCTCCTCCTCTTGTCCTCCTTCACCCTCGTCCTCCCATCATTTCGTCCGCCCCCCCCCCCCCATCAATCCCAGGCTGCCATTGACGACGCTCGCTCTGCGACTGTTTCCGAGGCTGTCGATCGATTTCGCAGCCGTCGTTGGCAGGACTCCGCCAGCCAGAGCTGCGACTCTCCTCCTCCTCCTCCTCTACCTCTTTTTTTTTTTTTTTTTTTTTTTTTGAGCCACTGCGTCAAAGTAAAAAAAAAAAGCAGCCATTGTACAGGGTGGGGTGAAGGGGATGAGAGGTGGGAATATTCCCCACAAAGGGCGGCGTTTGATTGGTGGAGCGAGACGCCGCTTACAGCTAGCTGGTCTCTGATAGGTGAGGGGGGAGCGGGGTGGGCGATGAATATGGATAAGGGAGCGATGAAAGGGGCCGATGCAGCGAGGACGACGGGAAGGGCCCCCCCCCCGCCTCTGAAATAGCCTTGGTCCATGAACAATACACACCGGTTTTCTCTCACACACACACACATAAACGCACACACACACACACTGAAGGGAGAGAAAGGAGGCGGCTGCTTCAGTTATCTTTGTTAGCCTAGCCTCTATAGTCTGCTGCGATGTCTTCGCAGACGCCCTGATGATGGGGAGCGTTTCAGTACGAAGGCTTCTGATTGGTTCTTGCTGAACCTCTTTTCAAACCGGATTCCTGTTAGCAGGATGCCGACCTTCTCTCAGACGACTCCGTACCTAAAACAAACAAATGAAGCTTTTTCTAAAAACCTGCCCATCTGACAGCTCAGGGTCACATCTGTCACGTCTTTATAACCTTTGTCAGCTGACCCCGTTTGGAATTTTGTTTTCTCTTGTTACAGTTAATGAGGAAAAACAGAGGTCAGAGTGGAGCTATCGTTTTTTGAGTCAAAATGTCCTCCAATTTAAAAACAGCTTCTCTTAGAAAAAAACCCCATTTCTGGCACAAAACAACAAAACGCAGTAAAAGAGGCTGCTGGTGTTCTGAGTCATCGTGGTACCTTCCACAGGAGGAGAGCTCTTTTTCCATCAGAGAACCATCATCCGTGATTTAATAAGACCCGACTCAGGAATTCAGGAAAGGTACATATTAAGGAAAGAAATTCCCAAAAGGTTATTTGTGAGTGTGTTTATGAATGAGCCCTACAGATGCTCCTTTTGTTGTTTGAAAGGGTCACAGGAACAGAACAGATTTACGACGTCATTGTCAGCTTTGGAATCTCGACATTTTTACATTATTAAAGTCCCGACTCATAAACAGTCGCCTCTGAATGGATTAAATTATTTTAAAAACAGTTTTGAGACTCTTCAGACGTAGAAACAGAAAAAATAACAACAGAGATATTTCCTCCTCTGCGAGCTTTTTCTGTTTATGTCTGAGGACGGCCATCTTTCAGACCGAAGACAGCTGGTCAGAGCCTCACTGCTGGAGAGCTGAACGTGTGTGTGTGTGTGTGTGTGTGTGTGTGTGTGTGTGTGTGTGTGTGTGTGTGTGTGTGTGTGTGTGTGTGTGTGTGTGTGTGTGTGTGTGTGTGTGTGTGTGTGTGTGTGAATGCTGTGTGTGCTGTGAGATGAATATTTTCCCCAGAGGTCAGACCCCCCCCCCCCCCAAACACACACATACACACGCACACGCACACACACACACACACACTCGGCTCTGATCACACTGCTAATCTTCAGATTTTCCTCCTTAATGTCAGACTCACACCTGATGTTCGGAGTGCATCAGGACTACACTCTGGACCACTTCAGTTTATGTGACCTAGTTCAGTTTGTAAAGGCCGATAGTGAAATAAAGAAGCTTTAAGGCCGACATGAAACTTTCAACCTGTTCACCAGATTACAGAATAATGCTTTAACCCGACGTTACTAGATGTGTGGTGATGATTTATCTTTTAAAAAGGCCAATTTAAGTCACATTTGTA